TGAGCCCCCTTGGATCCAAATTATGTGCTGGAAGGAGGAAGGAAGGGCAGATTGCACTTGAATTTCTGCATCCTTTCAAAATGAGAGCTTTGACTTGCTTTACGCGTGGTAAAGCAATATATGGCTCACATACCTTTACTGGAGAGCAGCTAGGTTTTATAACACCAAGAGTGGGTGAATAACGTGCAGCTTCCAGTGGCTTTTGGTGATGAAAGCTGCATGAATGTGGCATGTTGAGGTCAGAGCCGCTGGCACATCACTGCATGTACGATGGGAAACGGTTTCAGCAGAGGACTGCTGATGCATTTTGCTTAGAATGCAAGCTGCTTGGACTTCCCCTTGACAATAAAAGGAAGCAAATAGCGCTTTATTCCTCTGTGGTATAGCTTCAGCTGCTTATTTTTGATAGATGTAGCAATCAGCCATTGTGACCTGAATGTAGTATATCAAAGATTCCTAAAGAAAGCGCTTTTTCTGTTGTTGTTGGATCAAATAGCCTAAATTAGCAAAGACGCTGGTTTAAAGGGTGTGTTCTGGGGTAAGTAGAAAGTAAAAACTTCTTGGCTACATTCCCCCATAGGAATGTAAACAGTTTTTACTTTAAAATCCATATTCTACATGATCTTTAGTTCAAATCCATGCGGTGACTGGGTTATAACATGTCCTTTTTCATTCTTCCCTTCTCATTTCTCAGCTTAATACAAAGACTTTCTATAAAGAATGTTTTTCTGCTCCAGCTATGCAGAAGCTCTATCCGTATCCCCACATTCTTTCTAATACTCATTTTTTTTTCTTGACTTTCCCTGTTCCTGCTATTACTGTAAGTAATTTAAAGAACGAAATGTTTTCACTGAAACTGTTTACCTTGTAACAAGTTAATTTTGGGATTTTTTTCCCTTATTACCTGCACCTGTCTCTCCCACACTTAAAATTCATCAAGGGGAGAAAATTGTCAGACAGGCACATTGCGAGAGGGTCTAGCTGTCAACTACACCTAACAGCAAGCATCGTTGTATCACAGTGGTAATCGAATAGCCTGGCTCCTCTGGGCCTTTGTATACTAATTTGTTAGATGCTATTATAGGATCAGAATTCCTCCAGTCTCACGTAAGTAGCCTTGGCCAGAGAGTCTCCGTTGCCGATACGCTTGTGCCTTCATTCCATTTCAGAGCAACTGCTTTATTTTTATTGGTTTGCTTTATGGAGCAAGACGAGTGTCTCCATTCGCCTCTTCTTCCCCCTCCCTCCAAAGCATTCCTGTTAACGAAGCCAAAGGGAAGAGCATTGCTCCAAACCCGACGTGCATCGTGGTTGTAAATGCTGCCTTCGAATCTTTGCGTGCAACCAAAGCCCTGAGTGGCTAACGCAGGTTGAAACGCGCGTGTCCCTGTGAACAGCTACCTTGTGAGAATGCATCACCGTCCCACGTGGCTGTGGACTGTTTTGAGTGCTCGATGTGGAGCCTTCTGCATGTTTTACAAGTTAAGAACTGAAAAATTTATTAACAAAATTTTAATTTTTCCAACCTGGACAAATGCATCTAAATTCTTACAAATGTTCTCAAAAGTTTTCAAGCCACTGTCAAATTTTCTCTTACCAGAAAGCAAAACCTTAATCTAGCTTTTAAATATAAGAATTCCCCAGCAGTCTCTGTAGTAGTTGCAAGAAATTGCTTTGCAGACAGTAGAAGTTGTATCGTAACACAGGACCCCGAAGCTGCCACAGGCGCTGGCTTTTCCTTTCGAGCACTTGAACAGAAATTGAACATAAGTTTCATTTTAATAATGCTCCAGTTCACTACTGATCTGTAAAGGCAGGTCTAAGGGTTGCCATGTGCCAGTAGAAGAACCATTGCTGAAGCTGCTGGTCTTGACTCCTCTTTGTGTAGATTTCTTTGCAAGTTTTAAAGCATGAGCAGAAACGTAGAGTCCCTTTGGATGCACAAATGTGAATCTTAGTGCTGGAAATACCCGTTAAGTGTTTCATTTTTAACTTCCACCAGTCATAAGAGGTTACACAAGATTAATTTGATATTAAAAATAAACACTGTAGCTTTCCAAAGAAGGTAAAAGAAACCGAGTAACATCTAAAATGCCTTATAAATTAAGGCTGAAAGTAAAGGTGGGGGCCACAAAGCACAGCCCCCTTCTGAGACTGCCGAAGCACGAGTTACATTCCCAGACAGTTAATAGAAGCGGAGGAGCTAAAGCAAATCTATTTGTCGTCATCTTGCAATTTTTATGTCCAGATATTTTTGCCTGGAAGAATTGATTACATGTGTTACACGATGCATTAAAGACAGCAGCAATTCTAACCTTTCAGTTCAGAAATGTGCTACTTCAGGGCAACGCTGAGCAGATAATCACTATACCCACAAGAACGGCTTGGCTGGTTGGGGTTTTTTTTAAAATCTTGTATTACATAAATAATGCCACATTCAAAAGGAAATTCCTGCCAAAGGAGGGGTGTTAGTGTGGTCAATTATAAAATTGCAGCTCACCTGGCAGCGTTTTGGGAGCCCCATGGGTTCGGAATGGAATGAAGCAGCATACTGGGAGGATGTTCTCTATGGCCATAGGTTTTACATTAGAGACAATTGGTTACTAGAGCAGGTCTTCTGGCATAAAGGTTTTGAGTTATATTGATATTTGTCGGTTACTATGACTTCTTTTTTTTTTTTTTTCCCCCCTTCAATTGCATCATACCCTTAAAAAAATGGTGGTAAGTGAGAGATCTGCATGCTTTGGAGTTTGTTTAATCTCCGCTTCAGTCTATACAATGCACAAGTCATAATGTTAACACTTTTTCCTTACAACTTCTTCATTCACGTTCACAACTAATTTGGATTTCAGTTTGCTGTTTTTAATCTTTATTTAGTCTAATTTTGTACTTATTTTTCTGTTGTTCTGTTGCCCCCTGATTTTGCTAAGGTTTCGGTCTTTGTCCGTACTGTACTGGGGATGCTTTTCCAGCAGTTAAATGGCTGACCAGGGTAGTAACGCACAGAGGAATTTTCCTCGGTCTTATTTTACCTCCGTTTAGGTTATAGATGGGAGAGGGATGAGTGGTGCTGATCCACCATATAATCTGAAGTATTCCAATAGGCATTTTTGTTGGATCTTTGTTAGGAGAACAGCTGATGGCAGCCTTTATAAATGTGAAGCCTTTTTTTTTTTTTTTTTTTTTAAGCACACAAAACTACTTATCTGAAATAGGCATCTGAATATTTTAACGGAGAAGGAAAAATGGTTGTTTTATAGCAACAGAGAGCTTGTATCTTAACGGTGCAGTTTGGTATTTCTGAAGTCCGGCCAAACAAACTCTCAAAGATGTCGATTATGCTTGTTAGAAAGCTGAGATACCCGAGTCCGAAAGCAGAATGGCATCGGTAGCAGTACTGATCTGGGGGTGGGGGGACCCGAGGGCTGTCTGTCTGTCCGAGGCTCTTCCGTGCCGGTGTGCGGAGTCCGTAGCACAGCCTGCTTTAAGATCTTTTGTGAAGCAAAAGATGTTTGTGGAGGGAAGCTCTAGATTTACTCTACTGTGCTTTGTGTTTCAGTACCTGATGTGTCTCTGTATATCTCCACTGTATATACAACAGCACATTGATGTCTGGTTGTCCTTACTAGTCCTAGTTCTCTCTGTATCTTGTCCGATAGTGTACTGTTGCTGGTAATGGACTTCTGTGGACACTGGTGTGTCGCTAGTGTGTTATTTTGGCTGTAAAGCTCTTGGTTTGTGGTTAGTTCTTTATTTTTTTGAACTATTTTTTTGTTCCGGTCACTGTCTGTGCTAGCGGTGGCTTTGCCTATCCGTTGCCTTGAAGGTACAGGTGGAGTAATGTCCCCTTCGACCGACATTACTCCTAGCGTGTGCTCATGCGGATGCCTACACTGTTAAGACTGTAATTTCCATAACTGCTTCATGTGCACTAAGCACCCTTGTGGAATCCTGCTGAGAGTTTCTTAAAGACTTCAGTGAAAAATCCCTCGAGCACGAGGTGGGAACGGCAACTGTGCCAAAAACAGCAGGTCCTGAATTGGTCCCCCCAAAATACTTCTACAGGAGCGTTAACTTTCTGGATTGATTTTTGTACTGCTGTTTAAATGCACTTCTGTCTTCTGTACTGCAGCTTGGGGGCAAAATAAGGTGTTTTATAATTCAAAACAACGTTCAATTGGTCATGAAAGAGTTAATGCGAAACATTATTCATTGGCAGATCTTTATCCAATTCTTAAAAGAGAATATTTTTGCCAAGAGACACAGGCAGAACAATGCTGTCAGTCTTCTGTAGCTGAAGTCTGTTGTGTCTGGAGGTATTACAACACCCCTAACTTTCCCTGGTGTTTGGAGCCCTGTGCTCTGTCGGCCGCACGCACAATGCCTGATGCTACCCAAGGACTACGTTTGGATACCCGAATCAAGTGTTGCAGCTTCAACCTCCTCCTAACCTGGTCCGTTCTAATTAGACATTGAAAAAACGGAATATGTAGAGGTTGTATCATCCCGGGGGGAAGATGAGCATATGGTGTATATACCCTGTTGTGTATATACCAGCAATTACCCATCAGCGGTTGAAGAATGGCTTAAAAAAATATTAAAAAAAAAAAAAAATCAATGCAAGAAAATAACCAGCAGGATTTTACAACTGAAACGTTGGTTTGTCTTCTCATCTAGTTTTTATGAGATTGAACCACTGGAACTTGGGGACAAGATGAGTCTGACCATATTGCAACAATCTGTCCGCTACAGTTGCAGTTCTTCATGACAAGCATTCAAAGTGTTAACTAAAACCATTGAAGCAACATACCTGCCATTAAAACTTGAATCCAGAAAAATAACTCCATGAATCTTTGCACTACCAAGTGGAATGGCCTTTAACGCTGTATATAGATCGGTTTGCTGTTTGCAGTTCAGCCGGTGTTACGGTGCAAAGCCTGACTCTCTTTTTCTTTCCTTTCCTTGTCTTTCCCTGGATTGCATCGGAATTCTTGCTGCAGATGATGAACCAGCTGGGCCAATGTAAGTGCATTTTAAGAAAAAAACATGACTGAGCTTAATGTGAGGGTTTATGGGAGTTTACAGTACCCAAGATGGATATTAGGTGTAACACTACTAATGGTAAAGGACCCGTTGCTTGGGTGGTTGTTAGCATTGCAGTGAAGAAAAGCGATATCTGCAAGGTCCTTTCTAGAAAAACAAATAGTGCTGAAGGAGTCGGAAACAAATATTTGTGTGAAGCCACCTGTAGTCTCCCTGACTGCCTGGTGTAGCAGATTTGATAAATGTTTTTTTACAAATATCTTAAGCAATTGGCAAAGTAGGCGGAGAAAAACAGCTTCTTTTAGGAAGGAAGGAAGCAGTAAAACCAGGAAGCAGAATGAGAGGTGTAGGAGGTGAACTGCACAGGGCAAGAAGGAGGCAACATACAGTCCAAAAGTTGCGTTGTCTTTAGCCACTCGAGTTAGGAGGAAGAATGAAATGCTGTTTAACTTAGTGTGTACAAAGACACTTTTTCCTACAGCTGTGATTGATTTTGGTGCATTTTAAAAATTATTTCTTTTTCCAGGAAAACCAATTCTACAAACAATCATAAAGATAAAAACTTACGCCAGAGAAACACAAATTAAAAATGCTTATCATGTAAGTATGACTTGCACGCATCTTGGAAATGGTCAGGCTAAAGCCCTCCTTTTTCTGTAGTGGTTGGGGTGCGTAAACATAACTTGTTCCACGTATTAAAAAGTTACCAGCCGCTCAGAGGATGGCACTGGCCTTCCTGCTGCGCTTCAAAGAGCCCTGGGGGTCATTGGAAGATTTCTTTCATAAAATACGCAGGTAGTTTAACGATCCAGTAGCTATTGAACTCCACATAATTATGACTATTGCTAATAAAAAAACCCCAAACCTCTCCTCATTCAATCTTAAAATCTGGAAGCTAGCCTTGGTTGGGAAGCCTTTATCTCCATTAAGGCCCAAGCGGACGTTAAGCGCTTTGATTGCACGCTGTTATGGCACGTGATGTTGAAAATGCTGCCGGGCATTGACTAGCACCTTTTCTCATTTCTTTTTTAGAGCTTTAAGTTTCTGAGAGACTGATGGCAATATGACCTGCTAAATTTAAGGGTTGGAACTCTTGGTTCTAGAACTCCAGTTCTGTCTGATTTTTCTTTTTTTTCTTTTTTTTTTTTCCTCTCCTTTTCAAGTGAGCAACAATATGACTGTCTAAAGCATGCCTTATTTAGCCTCTCCTGTAAGGATGACCTAGCCAGATAAATTTTAATAATGCTTCAGTGTAGAAGGTGTAAACTATTTTCGGCTTGATGTGCTGTGAATGTTGCTTTTTTTTTTTTTTTTTTTTTTTTTTCCTTAAATCTATTTAAACATTAGAAGTAGTAAGCCGGTTCACGCATGCGCCATTTTTTACTTCCTGTAGCTGTTAAAATTGGCAAAGCTCTAAAACGCACTGCTGCCATCTAGTGATACTTTTTGTAAAGTACAGCAAAACTTAAAAATATATACAGTATATATTTATATTTTGGGGGAGGGGGAAAACCAAAATACAGTAATTGTGTTTCATTTTTAAGCTGCTGATATTCATTCCTTACTGTATGTCTGAAAGATGAGAGAATTATACTGTTCTGGTACTTAGAGAAGTAATATAAATTGAAATTATCTTAAGGGCTTAACCTATATAGAGAGACTTGGGTGTCCTATAATCAGACTTCAAAAGCTGGAATGGTTCAACGTGGTGGTGGTGGAATGCAGTTGAAAACAAAAACAAAACTTCAGTTTATAAATATATATATATGATTGCTTTTTAAGTGATTTTTTTTTTTTTTTTTTTTTAACTCTTGTAAATTTTCAAATCCTTTTGCACTGTTGTTTTCAAATTTTTTTTTTCCTCATATATTTTTTTTTTTATGGATTTTTTTTTTTTTTTTTTTTGTTAACTCATGTAAATTCTCAAATCCTTTTGCACTGATGTGTTCAACATATTCTTGTACATTCAATTCAGGCAAACTTTTATAATTTTTTTTTGTTTTGTTTAAATGATGAAATGTTACAGCATGGTGATATTCTATGCAACTAGTTATACTCTTTAGTTTGACACTGTAATTTCTCATGATTTAAAGATTGTAGAAATAGACCTAACAGGGTTCTCATGATGTGCGTAACTGTAGATGCATGAACTTGTGTTCTGTGTATTTGTTGAAGTGCAATGATGTATAAAAAGTGGATTCACCTGTTTTTAAAAATAAAACACTGACCAAAAAAAAAAAAAAAGGCGTGAGACTTTTTCAAATATTTAATCACGCTTAAGCTTGTGTATCCCGAATGCTGGGTATCCTGGAGTGTGCGTTCCTGTGGTAATAAGCCGGTATTTCTCAACCTTCTGTGAGTCTTTTCAATTCCTTCTCCACGTCTTCCACAAAAGCTGGGAAATTCTGATCCATAAGACATAAGCGAATGAAGGGCCCCAGCTCCTGTGCGTGCCACACCGAATGCTGATACGCAAGGGGGAGCTCAAACTTCTTTTCCAGCACAGACTGCGAAAGTAAAAACCCAAAGGTGTTGCACTAATCTTGGATGTAAAAGGTAACGTTACATACACGGTTTGCGTAACAATGCAGCTACGTCAAAGCTTTCCTTCAGTATTTAATAAAGATGCATCTGCCTTTTTATTAATGCTGTTTGAATGCTTTCAGTCAGATGATTTCAGCATGTACTTTTTTCTCTGATACCCAGCTTCAATTTGAATAGTTTTTACAAAACTTTGAATTCCTCTGCAATTGTTTAAATCAGAAATGCCTATTTCCTGGGTAACGTGGCTTCCTCGTGAATATCCATTCTGTGTAAGAGAAAAGGAGCCTGCACGAAGCGTATGTAGTGCCACTTTAATTGTGTAAGGATAACCAAGTATGTAGTTCTAAGCTCTTAATTTAGCAAGATGCCTTTTAGAAGTAAATTATTGGGCTTTTTAAGAGTTAAAACATCCTTTTCGTGCCCACTTAACCCTCTCCCCCAACGTCCTCCCTTGGCATGGGTAAACTAGATGCATCATGTCACTTTACAGTGTAAAACTTGTGGCAGCACAGTGGAAGATGTACATCGTCATGCGCTGAGGTTGAGGAAGCCCTGACGGCCTCCCAGCATCCATAGGCGATGCCGCCCTCGGCCATTAGATACACTGCAGAAATGCACAAGTCCAACGGACCGGTAGGTTACTGGGCAACTCCCGAGCACTTTCCACACTGCTGGTCCTACAACAACAAGCTGAAGCAGCTTGACTAAAACTTTATTGGGGCGGGCTGCCAGCTTTCCTGCTGGATATAAGCCACGTTAAAGAAACAGTTACTTCACAGTTCAAAGGCCCTACTGCAGCCAGGGCTGCTGCTCATTGTAAACCGTGTTATTCATAGTATGTGTTAATGACCAAGTGTTTGCACCAAAATTTTTCCATCACTGGGGCTGTGAATGTTGTATAGACCTCACTGCCCACTCAGCCTTTCACCTCCTTTACTCGTCTGTGCTGAAGTCATTAAAGCTGCAGCATCAGCTACGGATGCTTTTTGGATGCTTTTTGGATGCTTTGAATGGGAGAGCAGAAGCAAAGAAAATCACTGAAGTGCTGCTTTCATGATGAGGTAAGTGTGATGTGCAGAGGCGATCCAAGGGGAATGGTGGTGTTACAGGGCAATGCCTAATGCTAGTTAGTCTGTATCTGGCTTTAAAAAAATTTCAAATGCCTGGTTTGGCCTCTTTTTTGATGATGCGCTGATAGGAGAGGCACAGGCTAAACCAAGGCTCTCCATCTGGGAAAGTCAGAATTGCTGTTCAGTCAGGCCCTCGCTTCTGCTGCTTGAACCTCAAACAGAGCTTGACAACTGGCAGATGGGTGGGCGTGCTGACAGCTGGAGCATAGCTGTGTTTCACTTGTGAGGGGGGAAAAAATCAACCCTTAATATTTTTGCTGGTCTTACTGTGGGTTTACACTGCAGTATTGCTCTTTTTCTGGGTCATGCCATAGTCTTGATTGGAGAAAAATATCTTTAATCATAAATTGAACACCATTAAATATCCATTAAATATTTAAAAAAAAAAATGCAAGAAAATGCTTAAAACCAGTGCTTCTGCTAGCTTCCTGAAGTGGTGGAAAGGGAGAAATTTAACTCCGGAGTGTTCCAGAGCACCAGCTGAAAGGGTGCGTTTCTGAAGTTCAAGTTGGGAAAAGAAGTTCAGCGCTGAGCAAACTTTTATGGCAAGCCTGAGGGCCAGGGCATGGGAGATCCAGCTCAGAGCACAGGTGCGTTAAGCTGACTGAGAAGTAGAAGGGCAAGTAGAGGAGCATGTAGGAAACTACCACAGCAAGGAGTCTTTTTGTGCTGGGGAATTTGTTAGTAATTGAAGCGAGATGAATGTGTACAGCAAATAGAGGCCTCGCTGGCGGAAAGCTTTGTTTGAAGCAGGTATCATGCTCCTGTGTTATACAAGGACCACAGAATAGCAGTTTCTAGAAACTAAATTGTTCTTCATAATGTTGGTGCTAATTTACACTTCCTAGTATTGCCTCTTAAAGCAGAGATTGGTCATGAAAAATAGAGTTGCTAAAGGCAAACTGTCTTGTTTGATCGCTCTGACTTGTTGATGTGCTCATGCTGCATTGTACGAGGGCAGTAACAAAATTGTTGGAAACGAAACAGCAGGGTGTGTAATACAGCTCTCGCCACTTGAGATGAGTACAGGGAACTCTGCTTTCTGAAAACAGAGGTGTTTAAAAGGCTTTTTTGGGTTTAAGAGAGGACAGATTCATAATAGGGAGCATAGGAGTTGTCCCTTAAACCACTGATGTGAAGAAACATTGACTTGATCATCCCATCAATATGGAAGAAGGGTAAGAAAAACCCACAGCAACTGCACAAAAACAGAGGTTGGAGAGAGTAGTTTTCTCCTCAGTCATCTCATTCTGTGCTGTCCCAAATTCATACAGTAGACAAGCAACAGTCAACTTCCAGTTATTTTTAAATATGGCTTTACCCTGGCCGCCTCAGTGAAGCTGTCAATTGAGTTAGGGCATCTTTTGTTGTGGGTCAAAGATGCTTGATATTTTCAGGCTTAAGCTATGACTGCAGAGGTCGTTTCTGCAGAGTCAGAGAGTGACAAAGCCATTTATTTGGATGTGACCTCTGGGTATTTGTTTGCTCTCGGTGTGGTGGTTTGTTCTTATGCAGATGGTGTAATTACACCATGAAATACCTGGGTTTCCAGCTTATTTCCTAGCTGCAGGCCGTTACACAAGATCCTGTGGTTTTGTCGGTATAGATGATGGCATCCCGATGTTCAGTGGAGACAGTTACCAGATGTTTACAGCATATGAGATAGCTTGTGCTCTCTCTGCACCTGAGAGATTCAGTTACAGGATCTAAATATTAGATTTTTTTTTTTTTTTACCTGCGCTAGCTGTGTTACAGATCTTCTTTCTCCAAGGCAGGAATCTGGTAGAGGCTCATCTGGCTAGAAAATATCAAATGCAAATAAGGGCTTGTTACCAAGCAGAGTGTGGGTATGTGCAAGGAGGGAAGTAGTTCCATTTTTAGAGATAACGGGAAGAGAATGTGCTCAGCTACCTTATGCAGTAAAAAGGCATCTTTTTATGGAACCTGAATGCACATCTGCTCAAGTCTTTAAAAATGAAAGACATGAAATAATGGGCCCGTAGTTAAACTGTCACGTCTAAACTAAGATAACTTTTAAACTACTTACTGGAACTAACTTTAAAAAATGCTGTGTACGAATGCTCAGCAGGAGCATGCTTTTTTCCTTCCCATGGGTCTCATCACAGAAAAAGATGGTTTCAAGTTGTCAATTCTATTTTCTGAGCAAGGTTTTCAGTCTTAACTTCTGGAGAAAGAGCATTATTAATACCAATAGTACAACTGTTGGTGTTCAAGAGCATTCTGCCATAAAGTACTGTCTTTACCTTTCATTCTTTGCTTTAGCTTATCAGGAAATGAGCAAAGCCCAAAGTAGAGGTAATCTGCTTAAAGAACAAACAATAAATCTTGAGTATCAGCTGTTGAGGGTTTCCCATATGCCTTCCTGGAAACAGTGTGAGTCAAATGAGCAATATGTTTTTTTCCCTGCACTTTCTCTACCAAATACGATTCCACTGCCCAGTAGAGTGGGACCTTCCTAGATTATATCGTGAAAATGATGTAGCTGAAAGCTTTGATATTCCTTTTTCAGGGCTCAGTCTTGGTCCTGCTCTTTTTATCATATACCCGAGAGCTATCCTGGCTACGTTAGCTGCAGGGATGCTTTTTAGAGCTGGTAAATGTGATCCTCAGGATATCCACGAGAGCCTATATTTAAGAACTAGTCACCCTCAGAAATATTATCTGCCTCTGCCTTTTCCAGTTACTTTACGTCTTTGTCTTGGAGAGGGGAAACATTCTGTTCCTACCCTGAAATCACTTTTAAATGTGTCAGGTTAAGCTCAAATTGATACAATTGCTATATTTACAATTATTAACACTAATTATATAACAGGAGTAGGTAAACACAAAAGGGAGAACACAATTCATGGTTACTTAAATGGCTCCAATCATTTTTCTTACCCTGTATAATTTATTTGAAAGTCTGCCAGGTGGTTCCCAGCAGTCTTAGCTGAAAACCACACGGATGAAACTGTAGACCTTTTTTTTAACTATTCAGCTCTCATCCTCTGCCGCCTCTTCTTGTTTATTAACCTCAGCAGAAAGCATCTGAGTCTTCCACCAAACCATACAACAATCTGACTGGAATTGGTAAATAACACTTGGTTGCAGCCTTCACTGCC